AGGACCCCATATTTTATTTACGAAGCGGGTACCATTAGCTAGTCTTCCACTGAGTTAAATGAAGCCTCGGACTTGCCATGCACCTTTCCCAGAGGATAAATTCGGAGAGGCCTCAGCTGAAGCTCTCTAAAGGCATGAGGGCTGGCTCCAAATATTAATCATACACAAGAGGAGACCCTTTCAAATGAAAGAAATGTAAGTTGGTGTTGACTCATTGGTTTCAATGGGAGGTTCTGTAGATTGCATCAAATTTTATGTTTAATTCCCATGACAACCTCTCTTAAGTCCCGATAGAATTACATCCAAAAGCTGATTTTTCACTGAGGTCATTTTCACACTAATCACTTATTTATAACATTTGTAAGTGTAGAAGACATTATCAATTAATAGGGAAGGCCTCTACATCACCTTTGGCATTCTGTGCCTTTGACACAGGAATATAAAATCAACATTGCTTTGTCTGTACCTTGTATTTTAAAATGGCTGCCATGCTTCTTCTCTTTGGTAATGTGCATTTATAGGCAAAAATGTGAAAAATCATGATAGGATTGGAACTGGTGTACAATATTTAGTTTGTTAGTATATATGGCTGCCCTTTTTAAAACTGACTCTTGACGGCTAACAAAAAAGTTAGTTAAAAAAACCTCACCAACAATAACAAAAACCAGTGTATCCACAATGTAGCTGAGGCAAATTGACAATACAGTGACATCTATCTTGTATGTTCACCGAGCTGAGTTACTGTAAACATGCTGGTCTTGTGAATGGGCTAGTTTTGAAATATTTGGCCAGTTTTACAAATGACACTTAAAGGAGTTTTGTATTTTCCATTAAAAAAGATATAAAATAGACAATAGAAATAATTATTGTGATACATAATTCAAATAGATTATTACCTTGAACTGAAGGTTACATGTAGTGATGACAGTTGGAGAAACACCATGGTTTCCATTTATTTTCGGCTGGAGTCAGCTCTTGTTCCATGACTGTATTTTTCTTATTCTAATAAAAAGAGGTACACATGTTTTGTCTGGTTTATTTATTTAGGTTTGAACACATTAAGAATTCTTTCACTTAAGGAAAATGTAGCTTAAATATAATGTGGTATACTGAATTGTTATACTGATCCCAGAAATATATATATAATAGTTAATAATGCCTCTCATTTATTATATTTAGTATTGATGTATAATGCCTTATTTATCAAGGATGGAAAGAAAGATAACTGTTTAAGTTGCTTATCTAATTATATATATTTATAATAAATTTCCATTCTGTATCATTAAGGGTTCTCCAAGAATTAGATGGTCTGCAAACCTATGCTACTTAGTTAATAAAAGGTATAACTTTTTCTCTGTTTATAACTCTTGATATGTATTTAACTTATTCCATTTCATCCACCTAAACTTGATCCTAAACTTGATTTATTTACAAATGAATCCAACTAAATTTCACTGAATTCTCCTGTAAATAAATTTGCTGCCTAAGGCAACAATCCTAAACTTTCTTTCTAAAGCATTATTTAACATTCAATTAAACTTAATTTTGATTAAGTGTATTTGGTACATAAAGTATATAAGTACATAAAGTATAATCTTGTCTTCCAAAGCATCCATTCTTTCTGTGAATTGTTACAGAATAAATAAATAAGTAATTTCCACATTTTATAGCATTTTACCTAAAATAAATCAAAGAAACATGAATATAGTTGAGATATAGTTCTCAAATCCTAATCCTCCTCCTCCTTGACTGAAAAAGCTCTTTTTAGTTTATCACCTTAATAGATAATTAAGAACCTAGGTCAGGGGTAGGCAACCTTGGCTCTTTTATGACTCATGGATTTCAACTCCCAGAATTCTGGGAGTTGAAGTCCACGAGTCCTAAAAGAGCCAAGGTTGCCTACCCCTGACCTAGGGTATAACCAGCTCAGACTATTGTTCTAACTCAGTATTGTCTAAGATAACTGGAAGCAGCTCTCCCAAGTTTTCAGAAGAAAATTTTCCCAGCTTTTCCTGGGATAATGAAGTAATTGAACATGGGACCTTCTGAAAACAAAATATGATTGGACCACTGAACCGTGGTTGCAGGTTCCCCACAACAAACAATATTGAGGTCTCTACTACCACTTCCACAACACTCTAGAATGTCCAAAGAGCAGAAACTCATTACTAATGTTCTTCAAAGGAAATTATTCAAAAAGCTTGTTTGATTATTTATGTATTTTATTTATTAAAATGTATATGCTTCCTATTCTTATTCTAGGCAGTTTACAACATATGAACAAGCATTCATAAAATTATAAAATTCAACCATAAATTCAATAAATAATCAAAATATTTAAAATTATAAATATTGTAAACCCCGTAGCTGCTACCTAGTAGAGAACTGTTTCTCCCATTTTCCAAAAGAGGGTAAAGGCACACCCAATTTTGCAGAGCGGTCTGTTCCAGAGGATGGTGGCCACTACTGAGAAAGTCAATCTTTGCATCCCAGATGACCTTAAATCTTTTAGGTTGGTTAGCCGGATCATCTTATGATATCTTTCAATAAACAATATATTCATGCATCCAGACCTATACAACTCTTGGTGCTGATCTTATGATAGACTTTGACCATCCATGGGATGATCAATTGCTACGGGTTTGGATGGATTTAGAAAAACAGATTCTTGCCCCCACCCAAAAATAATTACAGAAAGTTGTCTTCCAGCTGTATAG